TTCCCAGATTTTCCTTATCCTTCCAAAAACAGCTCTAGCTTTGTTCAGGCGTGACTGCATGTCTTCCTCTGTCCCTCCCAGTAGGGACACAACACTACCAAGATATGTGAAATGTTCTACATTTTCAAGAGTTTGGTTATTTATGGTCACTAGTTGTTGGTTTGGACTGTTTGTTATGATCTTAGTTTTCCTTGTATTTATTCTCAGTCGCACCATTTCTGTCGTGCTGTGTAGTCTGTTACTTTTCTCTTGTATTTGTTCATGTTTATGTGATAGGAGTGCTATATCATATGCAAAATCAAGGTCCTCAAGCATGGTGAATGGAGTCCATCGTGTGCCTCTTAATGTCCTGTCTACTGTGTTGTTTAGTATCCAATCAATCACAAGGTTGAAGAGGAAGGATACATAACACATCCCTGTCTTACACCTGTCTTTGCTGGGAAAGATGTATGGTAATCTTTTTATACTGCAGGAAAAGCCTTTATAGAACAGAGCAGTTATGTTGACTGTCTTTTCTCGAATTCCATAATGTCGTCATATTTTTCAGAGACTGTCTCTATGGACGCAGTCAAAAGTTTTCTCAAAGTCCACAAAATTAATATATATACTTCTCTCCCATTCATTGCATTGTTCTAAAATGTTACGTGGAGTAAAGTTATGCTCAGCTGTTCCTCTGCCCTTTCTGAATCCTTCTTGTATAGATGCTGAATGTTCAGTAACACTGAACCTTTTAACCATCTGTCCACACATCCATTCATACATCACTCCGTTCATCCAACCATCCAGACTCACATCCATCCGACCATCCAAACATCCATCCTTGAACATCTATCTGTCTGTCAATCTATCTACATATCTATTCATAAATCCATCCATCTCCCTCCCTCCCTCCCTCCCTCCCTCTCTCTCTCTCTCTCTCTCTCTCTCTCTCTCTCTCTCTCTCTCTCTCCCTACCTACCTACCTACCTACCTACCTACCTACTCACCCACCTCTCTCTCTCTCTCTCTCTCTCTCTCTCTCTCTCTCTCTCTCTCTCTCTCTCTCTCTCTCTATCTATCTATCTATCTATCTATCTATCTATCTATCTATCTATCTATCTATCTATCTATCTATCTATCTATCTATCTATCTATCTATCTATCTATCTATCTATCTATCTATCTATCTATCTATCTATCTATCTATCTATCTATCTATCTATCTATCTATCTATCTATCTATCTATCTATCTATCTATCTATCTATCTATCTATCTATCTATCTATCTATCTATCTATCTATCTATCTATCTATCTATCTATCTATCTATCTATCTATCTATCTATCTATCTATCTATCTATCTATCTATCTATCTATCTATCTATCTATCTATCTATCTATCTATCTATCTATCTATCTATCTATCTATCTATCTATCTATCTATCTATCTATCTATCTATCTATCTATCTATCTATCTATCTATCTATCTATCTATCTATCTATCTATCTATCTATCTATCTATCTATCTATCTATCTATCTATCTATCTATCTATATCTATCTATCTATCTATCTATCTATCTATCTATCTATCTATCTATCTATCTATCTATCTATCTATCTATCTATCTATCTATCTATCTATCTATCTATCTATCTATCTATCTATCTATCTATCTATCTATCTATCTATCTATCTATCTATCTATCTATCTATCTATCTATCTATCTATCTATCTATCTATCTATCTATCTATCTATCTATCTATCTATCTATTTATCTATCTATCACTCTCTCTCTTTCTCTTTTTATCTATCTATACACATATTTATACGTATATCTATATATCTGTCTTTCTGTCTGTCTGTGGGTCGGTCTATGGGTATTTTTACGTATTTTTTTTTCTTCTCCTTCTTCATCTTCTTCTTATTATTATTATTATTATTACTATTATTATTATTATTATTATTATTATTATTATTATTATTACTATTTTCCTCTTCCTCCCCTATCTGTGCGAGTGTTATTTCTTTGTGTATGTACTGTATCTATTTGTGAGGGGTATGTGAATGCTGTGTTTGTGTTAAGCAGTGTGAATGTATTGTCTGTGTTGATTGGCTGTGTCCATGTGTATGTATGTTGTGTCAGTGTGATGACGTATGCCCTGTTTGTTGTTCTTCATGTAGATGTTGTGACTGTGTATATTGTTTTTTCTGTATATATGTACTGGGTCAGTGTGCGTTCTGTATATGTGTGTAGTGACGGTGTGTATGAGTTTAGTCTGTGATTGTGTCAATACCTGTTTATTTTGTGTGTGTGTCTGTGGTTAGTGTGTGTGTGTGTGTCGTCAGTGTGTGTGTGTGTGTGTGAGTGAGAGTGTGTGTATGTGTGTGTCTGCTACGTGTCTTTGTGCATGTATATTTGAAGATATGCATTCGTCCGCCATGTTTTTGTATTTTTACTTTACGTTTACACTACGAATTGTGATACATAATATATTAATATATAAAAAAAAA